GGGTTCGGCGGCTCTAACACACACCTCATACTCAGGTCGCCTAAGATTAGGGCACAGGAAGGCAATGACCACATCGTGGACCACAGGTATCCGCGTTTAGTACACATGTGCGGACGCAGTCAGGCGACGGTCGAGTATTTTTTTGGCAAACTGTTTGAAAGGCCTTCAAAAATCAGTAGAGATTTACTACATTTGATAAATGAATTATCAAAGTGCTCGCCCCACGAAACGGGCACCGGGTGTCGACCCATGAGATACCGTGGCTTTACGCTAATTAGCGCCAACTCCAGTGTCCAAACCGGACTAACTTTTACACCGATTCAGGTGAACAAAGTGGCCAAAACGAGACGACAATTGTGTTTTTTATTTTCAGGAATTGGGTCTCAATTTCCAACGATTAACAAATCATTGCTAAATTTCGATGTCATCTCAAACTCTATTCATGAGTCGGCGGTTGTCTTGCGAGACAAAGGCGTGGATTTGTTGGCTCTATTGACTAAACCAAATGCCGATTCCAACAATTGGGTGTTGAATACAATACTATCTGCGGTCGCCATTCAGATGGCTTTGACGGATCAGTTGCGGCATTTGGATATCACGGCCGACCATATGATTGGCTACTCTATCGGTAAGATAGTGTGCGCGTATGCGGACGGCTGTCTCACTGGTCGGGAAACCCTTTTAGTTGCCTATTATTGCGGGAATTTCATCGACAAAATGACAGTCAAGAAGGGTCTGAAGCGGACGTCACGCCACCTAAACGGCGATAATATGGGCCACAGTTTAAATCAGTATTGCAATGAAGTGCTGACCACTGGTACGGACGGAAACTTAGACATCGAAACATTGGTTCAGACGTTGGATTCAGTGATCGGATCCGATCGTAAAATGTCCTCCAAATGGATTTCCAATACAAACGATTATAATTGTCATAATATTAACAGCAAATACTTTGTCGATTGCCTACTATTGCCGGCGATGTTAACGAATACGTTCGCTAATTGTGTGCCCAACGGGTCAGTGATCGTCGACTTGTCTCCGGACACTCTAATGGCGAATGAGATCATGAATTTGAATACAAATTATACATACATTCCTCTAATGAAAGAAATGGACGACAATTGCGAGTCATTATTGTTGACCGGTTTGGGCCGTCTTTATACCCATGGCTTTAATGTTAGTATAGAAAGACTTTATCCTACAGTTGGGGGTCCGGTATCGACGGGCACTCGAATGCTGTCGCCATTCATCCAATGGAATCACACAAAATCTTACCGTGAGATCCGATTTCCCGATTATTTTAATTACTTTCGAAATCTGTCGGACGCGTCCTATACCATTGACTTTAGGGTAAGTTTAATTCTACAGTTACACTATATTGTAGTGACTACAAGTACAATTTAGCGCTGTATAATCATCAATACAAAAACAATTTAAATAATTATATAAAAAGTGATTAATTTATATTACAAAATAATTGACAGGATGTGAACGAACAGTACATTCTTGATCACTGTATTGATGGCAAAATTCTATTCCCGGGCACCGGGTATCTGATGCTCGCGTGGCGTTCACTGGCTTTTCACAAGAAAATCTCATACAAGGAGTTATCGGTGGAGTTCCGTGACGTACAGCTATTACGGGCCACACCCGTGACGGCCGATAAAAAAGTCACATTCAATGTGAATTTGGACAGAAGTACCGGACGTTTCCATATTATCGAAAGCGGATCAATTGCGGTGAGCGGTACTGTACGCGAGATTACCGGCGATCAACCGCTGCGATACACGTCTGTATTGAATGAAATACAATCGATGGCCGACACGAGTCATGAAACGCCCATTTGGTTGCAAAGTAAAGATGTGTACAAAATGCTGAGGACTCGGGGCTACAATTACGGCCCGAGTTTTCGCTGCATAACCGACGCCCACGAGATTCAGGACACTTATTGGTCGGCCGGTATTGAGTGGCGCCAGAATTGGGTCACATTTTGCGACTGTTTGTTACAGACATCTCTAATTACGCGATCAAAACAATTGGTAGTTCCGGTGGCCATCGAAGAGCTCCGATGCGATCCAAAGCAACTGTTTAGCGGACAAGTTGTCGAGAGGCGGGCCGTATTTGATCCGCACCTCAATATAATGGTGACGCCGGGACTGGAGATCCGTGGAGTGCGGACCAGTCCTCTGCACAGGGATGTCAAGTACCAAACGCCGGCTCACATGAGCTATGAGTTCGTCGCGTTTGACGAGAATTTTAAACATGGATTGGATAATGACATGACGTGTTCATCATATGACGAGCGAACCTGTCTTCGCTCTCAACTCACAATATTTGCCCAAAATCTCAATAAATTGAGTGGTAATCGCGTGAATGTGTTGGAAGTGAATGAGAGCTCAGCGCCAATGTATGGCACAGTTATGTCGGCGATAGATATATTGCACTACAGTCTCGACGTTAACTTTGTATTCATTGGCAGTACTATTGGCCTCAAAGAAGAGGACAAAAACTTGTATTCAAACACTTTTACTCTCAACGATTCATGTCTGGGATCTGATGTGAGTGACGGCAGTATTGATCTGATTGTCTATAAGGATCAAAGTCTATGCAATTTAACAGCCAATGAGATTCAAACCGGAAAAAACAATACATTATTTTTACATTTTTGGCAAAACCTCATTGAAAATGGATTTTTATTGATTGTATTGAACGTCGGGATGGATGAGGAGGTGAAGGCTTTGGCGCAGAAGATTGGTTTTCGTATGGTTTCCCATAAGAAACACTGTTTTCCCGTTCACTCACTTTTGTTTCGAAAGATAATTATTGACCCATTAATTGAAAGACAGATAATCATCAAATTTACCAACGATTACAGACTTTGGTTGCAGAGATTTCAACGCGAATTCAGTGAAATCGGCAACAAATCCATTGAACAGAATATATGGTTAGTCGCCAACGGATCGGCTGAGGGTTTGTTGGGTTTTATGAATTGCATACGAAAGGAGCCGAACGGACATCGGATCAGATGTCTGCAGATAATGGACACAAATAACGACACCCAAAGGCCAGTGGTATTCGACAAAACAAATACTATGTTAAACGATATCATCAAAAATAATTTGGCAATAAATGTGTTAAAAGATGGTAAAGTCGGTCATTATGTACTCAATGAGCTGCCGGTGCGGCGCAGGACTATAGATACCGAACACTGTTTTCTCAATTTGCAAAACAGAGGCGATTTGTCTTCGTTTCAATGGTTTGAATGTCAGCACAAGTATTGGCCGCTAAACCGGACGATCGGCGAAAAGTTGGTTCACTTATACTATTCGGCCCTCAATTTTAAAGATATAATGTTAGCGACGGGTCAGTCAATCGGTTCACTATCACCTCATTTAATACCTAATAGTGACTAATGTTTGCTATATTTTAGGTCGACTTCAATTGAAAGCTCCCGACGGAGAGACCGAATGCCTGATTGGCTCAGAATTTGCGGGAAGGGATGAGAACATGAATCGAGTGATGGGAATGGTTTTGTCCAAAGCGTTGGCCACCACTTGTCTGGTCAAAGAAATACACTTTTTATGGCCAATTCCCGATTACTGGTCAATGGAAGAGGCGGCTACTGTTCCCTGCGTTTACGGCACAGCATATTATGCGCTTATAATTAGGGGTAAATTACGGCCAAACGAGTCCGTATTGATCCATTCGGGTAGCGGTGGTGTGGGTCAGGCGGCCATCAGAATATGCCTGAGTCTGAACTGTCGTCTATTGATAACCGTTGGCTCCGACGCCAAACGCCAGTTCCTTCAGAAGTTGTTCCCGACTTTAGGCGACGAGTGTTTCAGCACATCCCGAGACGCGACTGCTTTTCGGCGTCACGTTATGACCGAAACGGACGGCGCGGGCGTCGATGTGGTTTTGAACTCCCTGTCCGACGAAAAACTGTTCGCAAGTTTGGAGTGTTTGGCCACAAATGGACGCTTCCTTGAGATCGGAATCTATGATTTCGTCAAAGACTCGCTTTTAAGTATAGTTTTAATTAAACAGTTGTATAACATTGTATATATTCATAAACAACTCACTCACAGCGATGCTATACTTTAACAACATTTCGGGCATTGCTCAAAGAATAAATTAGCATTGTCCATAGATTTAATATTAGTACAATAGATTTGTCATGGACTTATTTCATAGAGATAACACGCATTAATTCCATACAATCTATATTATTATCCATAATAGATTTAACATTACATGTACACTTAACACTATTCATCGACTTAGCATTACCTATGTTAATCCTATGTAATAGACTCAGCATTACCCATGTTAAACCTATGTTATAGACATAGCACTACCCATGTTAATCTTTTGTCATAGACTTAACATTACCTATAGACTTAACATTGTCCATGTTAATCTTATGTTATAGATTTAAGCTGTAATCTCATAGAAACCCATAGTAAAGTTTCTCTATAAAAGCTTTTCCATGTTAAAGTATAGCCATAAAATTAAAATGGGATCCCATGTTATTCTCTATAGAATGGGGAAAAGGGAGGGGAGGGCGGAGGCAGAACGATCCTATAAACAACATTATTCATACAGTTGTAGTTGAATTGTAGTTAAAAATTGTTGAATGATAATTATAAAAGGCAACTCTCTCTCTCTCTCTCTCTCTCTCTCGCTCTCTCTCTCTCTCTCTCTCTCTCCTATTATTCATACAGTTGTAGTTGAATTGTAGTTAAAAATTGTTGAATGATAATTATAAAAGGCCTCTCTCTCTCTCTCTCTCTCTCTCTCGCTCTCTCTCTCTCTCTCTCTCTCTCTCCAGATGTGACGGATCTGTTGAGAAACAAGACTTTTGAAGGCATACAATTTGATGCCATGTTTAAGGTTAACGACAAGACATCGCCGACAATGTTGAGGGATAAGAAGAGGATATGGGAACTGATCGACGCGGGCATCAGCGCAGGTGTTGTGCAGCCCCTCAACCGTACTGTTTATGACCACAACCAATGCGAAGAAGCTTTTCGTTTTATGGCCAGCGGTCGACACGTCGGCAAAGTCGTCGTCAAAATACGAGACGAAGAGCCCTTCAAACAAACCTTTCATTTTAATGCCATCAAAATGGCGGCCATTCCTCGAACGGTATTCTTCTCTCACAAGTCATACATAATTACCGGTGGTTTGGGAGGAATGGGTTTAGAGATCATTGATTGGATGGTTGAGAGGGGGGTTCAAAGGTTTGTGATCACCTCGAGATCTGGTCCCAAACACCCGTATCAATACTCGCGGCTCAAGTATTTCAAAGACACTGGCATTGAGATAGTTGTGTGGACTCAACCGATTGATTCCGTAAGTGATGCCAAAGATCTGTTCGTCGAGACCATGAAATTGGGTCCAATCGGCGGTATATTTCACTTATCATTAGTCATAAGTGACGGCTTTTTAGAAAATCAGTCGATCGACTCGTTTGACAAAGTGTTTGAATCTAAATCCAAACCATTGGTACATTTGGATCATGTGTCGCGACAAATGTGTCCACAATTGAATCACTTTGTGGTGTTTTCATCGGCGGTCACATGGCTTGGAAGCGCCGGTCAAAGTAATTACGGCTTCACTAACGCCGCGATGGAGAGACTGTGCGAACAGAGACATCGCGAGGGTTTGCCGGCTCTGGCCATCCAATGGGGTCCCGTCGGTGACGTCGGTTATGTGGCCGACAATATCACAACCAATGACTATACAGTAGGCGTCGCGCGTTCGCAGCGCATGTATTCATGCTTACAAACGTTGGATCAGTTGCTCGAGTCTGGTGTCACCATCTGTTCCAGTGTTGTCTTCAGAGACAAGAAGACAAGCAAATCTGATTCGTTGGCCGATTGTAAGGATCTGTTGACAGCGGTGTCCCGTATATTAGGCCACAAAGACTTAGCGAAGTGTAACGCGAAGACAAGTTTAGCAGAACTGGGAATGGATTCGCTGCTAAGCGTTGAGACCAAACAAGTCATGGAAAGGGACTTTGAGTTAGTTTTGTCCACTCAGGAGATCCAGAACTTGACGATTGAACGCATTCGACAGATCAGTCTATCGTCGCCGACGGCCAGTAGTGGTGTCGCGACGAAGACATTGGCAGAGATGGCGATCACTCAGCGACCGACCAAAACTCACAATATAACCGATACAACCGTCGTGTCGGCCGATAAACAAGTATTTCATATACCAATAGAACGAGTCGTTTATCTCAACGCTATAAAAGAGGGCCGAAAAGTGTTTTACTTACCGCCGACTGACGGAACTTACCATCTGTTCGTTCCGGTGGCCACTCGTATGACACGACCCGTCATTGGACTCAATTGGACCGAAGAGTGCCTTCAGTTGGGCTCAATTCGAGAGACGGCTCAACACTTTCTGGACGTAATCCATAGCGAGTTTGTCAACCAATTGGACGACGGATTTGATTTGTGCGGCTATTCATACGGTGTGTTTGTGGCCTACGATATGTGTCTGGCATTACAGCGAGCGGCCAGTAATGGTATGGTATCGCCGTTTCCACCGCCAAAGCTCATAGCCCTGGACTTGTGTCCGGTGCAGAATCGCGCGGATGTGGCCGTGGTTTTGGCCGCCACACAACATATGTTCAATGGCGACCAGAAATTGAGTTTATTGTTCTCGTTTCTGATGACCAGGATATCGATTCAGTCGCAACAGTTGATCCAAACGGTGACGGGTGTGGCGCGCAGTCTATGGGAGCGAGTGGTGGCCGAGTTGTTGATACAGCGCGTCGGCGACCCGTGTTTGGCGCTAAATGAGGTGCTGTTTGCCGTTCGGTCACACGTCCACAAAATGCAACACACGATTCACTATTCCATCGGTGGTGACGATATGGACGGACACCGACTCAAAGGGGATGTACTGCTGATACGGGCGGACCAACCCTTTGCTGGCAATGTTGCGGCTAAAAGTGAGTCCAGGCATACCGTTCTTTACGACTACGGTTTTGGTGAGGTATGTGTCCATTCGCTACA